GGGGGGGGCAGGCGGCGAAACAAGAATGAGAAAAGATTTAGCAGCTTCATTCAAGACCGAGAAATGTTGACCCAAGTCGATGATGTGCCCCCACGTTGAGTTGGATGTACATCAACGTACGAGCGCGTGCGTAACAACTCGTCAGAGGTTAACGAGCCGAGACTCGGTTGGGTAACTTGACCTGCTCGGTCACCGCTTCCGTGCAGGGGCAGAAAAGTTAAAGGGGAAAGAAGAAAAAAATAAAAACTAATTTATTGTGGCAAAGAGGAATAGAGAAATAGAATAAGAAAGCGAGAAAGAAAAAAACGGCGCATTTGTTGGTTCTTTGGCTCAGCGGAGACAATTAGCGACGCACCGAGGTGAAAAATGAGATTATTGAGCGAAAGGCAAATGTTGACATACTTCTAAATATATTTGGTGGCTAGCATGGCATGACTTTGCATGCTTTTTACTGAGTGAGTGATTGAGACTTTATTTCAAACACGCACTGCAACGTTCTAATTCATCTCATTCCAGAACACTCGGGCTGAACTCAAGGAGGAAGTGGAAGTCCAACTTCCACATCAAATCAAAAAGATTTTGTCCAACTTCATCAGATATTCCCTTCAAAAAAATACATTTGCAAGTAATATACACACAATCGAAATACCCTCCCCGGTTTGCATGCCAGCTTTTCGTCATGTTCAAACAACAATCCAGACTAGCACCATTAAGAGGAGCCCTAATGAATGACCCGTGCAACTTGACTTTTTTTCCAAATTAGTTTTTAAAAATATCTTTTTGAGAGGGGAATAGAAAACAAGAAAAATTGAACCAATCAACGGGTTTCCATGCTAAGTGAGGCCGCCGCCGCCGCCGCTTTGTTGAAACGTTGACTTATGTTGACTCACTGCTGCCCCCGCAGGACATTACAGAACACTGCCGCGGCAGGAAATGGCTGCTGAAAAGCTCGTTTGGCCCCGTCAAGTCCAAATGATTAATTATGTGCCAAATAAAGCCACAAACGGCATTTCTCCCTATTAAACCTTTGCATTGATCTCGCGGCCGCTACCTGATTTGTCTCAATTTGTCTCCGACGCTGCGCAATTATGTATCGATCCGTGTTAAAAGCCGTGTTGAGCGCTCGCCGCAATCTTTTTGTTTCTATATTTATTATTATTATTTTTTACCTGTGTTGTTTTTCCTCTCGTTGGCAACACTTCAAAATTCATGTCATTTCAAAAGCGACTGGTTTTGAGGTTGCTTTGAAGTGTAATTATTTCGCTGGAAGTTGTGGTCTGACTACTGTGCAAACAGTAGAAGTGGCGTAATCAGTGGCGACCGGTCCACCCGCTACTGACGAGATCTTGACAGAAAATGGCTACTTCAATGATATTCTTTCGCAGTCATGAGAGAATGTATATATACACACACACACACACACACACACACACACACACACACACACACACACACACGCTCACAAAATCCTCCATGACAAAGTAAATGATGTCAATCAAACCCAAACGTCCTCCTCCACCAGCTAACACAGATGCCAGTTGATAATGGCGACACAAAAGCCAAGAAAATGCGTCTGTCTCTTGAGTACTGCCTCATCCTCAAGATGAGGTTGTCGCCATGGTAACAGATGCAAGCACAGCACGATGGCGAGAAAACCCCCCACTCCCATCCTCCGGTTCTTCCTCGGACCTTGAATAGGTGAAGCCGGCACGTCGGTGGACTTGGCTCGATTTGTTGTGTGGATTAAGGTGTGAAGAAAAGCTGCGAGCGCGTTGCAAGACAGACGCCGCGCCGACGAAAGCGGCCGGCGACTTTGACCTCCACAAGCTCAAAGTCAAACCGGGGACCGACGTTTTTTTTTTTTTTTTTTTGGGGGGGGGGGTGTGCCAATAAGCAATCTGAAGAGGGAAAAGACGACGCGAACAACCGTATTGTCTTCGGTCCTGGGGACACAGACACAGGCTTAGGGCTCATCTCATGTATGCACCAACAGGTTGAGAGAAACCTGAAAGATTTTTTTGCCTCTTCCATAAATTGCCAGCCAAGAGTCGGGCGCATAAAAAAACGAACAACCTTCTGCATTTAATCACACCGAGGGACAATTTAGCACAGCGGGGTCCAAACGACGCTTTATTTGTATCTTCCTATATAGAGAAAAGTTCAACGGTATGTAAACAAATGTATTCGTAATGAGGGCCCCGACTTTTTCTCACTCTGCCCTCCTTTGCCTCTTTTAACTAACCTTGCGACCCAGGTCAAATTTTTTTTTCCCCTTGTCATACCGCGGGCCACTGAAAAATGGATGGCAAGCCACTAAATGGCCTCCTGGCCATAGTTGCGACATCCCTTCTTGAAATGATGATGCAACAATTCCGTTAGCTGTCAGTTAATCAGTTAATTTTGGTACATCGACTCCCTCTTTGTCTCATTTGTGAGCCATGGCGGCGGAGCCAAAAAGGGGCCAATCGCGTCCGTGTCCCAACGTTGACGGAGAGACTGTGGATGCCCCGTGATGTGTCCCGCTCGTCCCCCCGTCTGCACTGCGTTCAATTCACATTGACATTGTGCTGCGGGCATCATCTTACGGTGATGCGGCAGAAATCTCAAATTTACACAGCTTTCATCTTACATGCCTGCTGACGGCGCTTTTTTCGGCGCACGCATAAGGACTTGTCCAATCGGGAAAGGCTTTTTTTCTTTTTTTAATCTGCAACGTGGGGGGCGTGCAGAGGGCGGGGCCCCCGGGCATCCACCTCTACCCATAACATGGGCACAACCTCCATTTGCCGCACAGCCTTCCAGTGTACACGGACGGCGGCTTTCATCTCACGCGCACGCCGACGAAGGCTTTCCCCTTGCGGATCATCGGCTTTTTTTTCTTTTTGCTGCAAGCGAAGCGCCAGCGCGGCCTTACTTGCAGTGCTTGTGAGGTCCGCTGAGGGTCTCGATGACGAAGCATTCGCCGCCGTTGAGGCAGTAGGCCAAGTCCTTGTCGTGACACGGCTTGAAATGCTCCGAGCGCAAAGGCGGCACCGTCGGAGACGCTGAAACCAAAACAAAAACATGCAAAAGTCACCTTCAATCAGCAATCGGAAGCGGCTCTCATTTGAACCTAAAAGGGGGAAAAGAATGAAGCGCAAAAGTGCTATTTCATGGCAGGTTTGGACACCAAATGACAATATTCATAACCAAAAATATTTGCCCACAAAAGTTGCGCAAATCTGCTAGCAGTGGCCCAAAATGAAATGTCCTAAAAGAGAAGGGTGGAAGTCCCCCCCCCCACAAATCTTGCCATACTCTCAACAGAATTTTCATAATTGATGTCCATCCCCAAAAATGTTATAATTGGCTATGCGTGCCACAAGATGGCTAAAAGCCTTTTTTATTGTTAGACAAGGCTAAAGCCTGACGAAATGAAGCTCCTCCCATCACTTCAACATGATGCCTCTGCCCCAAGATAGCATCCAACCATTTTTGTTTACTAGTCATAGGCGTGACTTGAGAACCATTTGGGGAAAAAAAAAGAAACATTGATCAAGTGATATGAAAATGAGACATGTGCACTACATACATTGGCTTTTTTTCTTTTTTTTTTTTTTTTTTTATGAATGAAACTCCTCCCATCACTTCAACATTGTGCCTCCGCCCCAAGATTGAAGGACTGTTTCAAAGTGCTCCCCGGAGAAAGGGGAGGCACAAAGGCACCAATTTGCCGGTCCAATTTAAGACCACTGTCCAGTTTAACACCCCCAAGTTCCAGACTATTCTTTTTTTTTTTTTTTTTTTTAAAGACCCATTGAGCAGTGAACAGTTATATTTTTTGCATCTTGCCTGTTTAGGCCACTTTGTTCTCACTACCTGGTCTGCAAACCTGAGGCACCGGGCAGTTAAGGAGGAGCTCAGAGAGGTAAGCCGGGGCCAGGCCATTTCAAGATTTTAAAACAAAGAATAGGATCTTCAAAAGAACTCCATAAGGAGCCAGTGAAGGGATGCCAGAGTGAAGTCAAGAGGGGAGCGGCAGCATTCTGGAGCAACTGGACATGCTTCATGGAGGATTGGCTGTCTCCAAAGTCAAGCGCGTGACACTTATCCAACCGGGATGTGACGAAGGCATGAAGGACTGTTTCAAAGTGCTCCCCGGAGAAAGGGGAGGCACAAAGGCACCAATTTGCCGGTCCAATTTAAGACCACTGTCCAGTTTAACACCCCCAAGTTCCAGACTATTGGCTTAAGATAAGGAGCCAGGGGGCCCAAGTCGGCAGGATGGGATGGTCAAGGGCCGCTGGGACCAACCACCATTACTTCTGTCTACTTTTCATTGAAATTGAAGAAATTCAGTGCCATCCAGGTCTTGATTTCCTCGAGACATGAACAAATATGAAGGGGATGGGGGTGGGGGCTCCGTAGTCCTATTTGTCTGGGACCCCACAGGTGGCGTGGAAACACCGGCGCCTCTGCCGTCAAACGTCAGGCGCGTCACAGTCGAGACCGCGAGGGCTCCGTTTGATCAACGCTTTGGACGCCGGCGCCGGCACCTGGAATGGCCCCGCAGGCAGACGTCAGTCACCGAGCAGGAAAACGGGCCAATTTAGTGGGAAGACTGACGGGGAAAAAGGCAACGGCTGGATCGATACGACATGGGAGCGGGCCAAAGCGGCCTCGCCTTCCCCAGGGGAACCCGTGCGCGTCTCCGCGTGCGGAGAGAATATACAGTCGCGCTTCACATTTTCTCATCTCCGGTCACACATTTTCCCTGCAAGTGATTTGCAAAGACAACGTCGTCCACTGAAGATGAAACGCATGCAGCACATTAGTAGAGGCCCGGAAGGCCGACTTTCCAGGCGCTCGGCAATCACGTTCATCGATACGCTTGGCCCAAAGTGTCAGGCATTCATAAAAATGGGCACATTCAACAAATTGGCACTAAAAAGCCTTTCGCCGCGCATCCAAAGGCACTGAATTGCAAAAGTGAGAATCGCAGACTTCTGAGTTTGCCAATTATCCAAGTGGCGACTTAGTCCTAAAAATTCAAAGCATAAGCCTGAAAACACCCCAAAACATTTTGTATTTCTTCGATCTGCATAAATGAGCTACTTTTTCCTTGAAATGCAACATTTTGCCATTAAAAATCAGCAACTCAACTCAACTCAACTCTGTATTTATAGAGCAACAATGAAGCAATAAATCAGGAACAAAATGGTAGAAGGCACCAAACAGTAAAACGAAGATCAAATCTGCAAGGTTGATGCCGGTGTCCCAATACTTTTGCATATATTGAAATAAACACAGCACACACCCACTTCAGTCAATCAACCAAATACAAGAGTGGGCTAAAAGCATGGCATCATTTCTCCGTTGGCGTCTTCGGGTAGACCAGGAGGCCTGCACTCGTGTGTGTGTGTGTGTGTGTGTGTGTGTGTGTGTGTGTGTGTGTGTGTGTGTGTGTGTGTGAGATGACACGAGCGTGCGGATTTCAGTGTGCTGGTCTCCAAGGGACGGCACACTCTGATAATCCACAGCAGCCTCTGCAATGCAGATGCTTGGCAGTGACACACACAGGCACACACACACACACACACACACACACACACACACACACACACACACACACACACACACACACACACACACACACACTCGCCTGGACCCATAAAGCTTTTGCGACGCACTAGCGTGGACGCCCTGCGGCTTGGCTCAATAAACGGCAGCAACCTGGAGCGACTGGACGCCACTGTGCCGTTTCAAAGACGAGAACGTCATCTCACTGCAGGCGCCGCCCTCACAGCCAAATCAAGGCACATTTGCAGACATTTCCATGACACGGGCACACACACGCAAACACAAAAAAAAAAAAACAGATCAAAGTGTGATACAAAAAAAAAAAAAAAATTATCTCAAGAAACAGTGCTTCAAAAAAAAACACAGGTCGGCCATTTTGGTTCCAAGACGTGATTTTTTTGGAGGAACCCTCCCCCTGTATATTCTTGATTTTAAAAAAATTATTATTCTTTTTTTAATTCAGCCCCTGACGCCGGTATAATATTGCAGCCTGAGATGTGGCAGACGCGTCAATCATGAGTGGACCCACCAAAAAGTCTGAAGAGGTCATGCCTGAACAGACACAACAAGTCAGCTATTTTGGTTCCAAGTGGTGATTTTCGAAGGAGTCTTGACCACAGGGGACTCATTTATCAGAGTGCAGACTTCTAAATTTTGTGCAGACGACTGAAATTTTGAGCGCGGGTAAGTCCAAAGAAATCCGTATTGATCAAAGACGTCGACACCCGCACACTAAATAGTCATGCGTGTTGATAAATCCCCCCCCCCCCGCCCCGTCCAAAACGGCCATGCTCGTGCCCGTCTGGCTTCTTTTGCTTTGAGAAACGCCCCCTATTGACTGCGTCGTAGCAACAAACGCTTTTTTGAATGAAATCCCAAATCACGTAGACATGCTGTTTGCCACTCTCAATGCATGTCTTATCAATAAATGAAAAACACTCCCACCAACGTTGCAAATCACAGTTAAAAATCCCCCCCGAGTTTGTGCTTCTTGCACTTGAATGCCGAAAAAAAAAGTCTTGTCGGTCGCTTCCCTTGATCACCAAGTCACTTTTCAGCTCTTCAGTCACCAAAACACCCAAGTTCCCACCAAACGTTCTCTTCGGCGCTTAAGAGCTCAGGTGCTGATTTCTCACCCAGAGCAGAATGACTGTTGGCCTTGTGATGCAAACGCGAGCTCGCTCCGCCTTCGCGGCAACGACACGCCGAAAGGACCGAGACCGGGATGTCCAGATGGCCCGCGTTCGAGCTTCCTCCTCCGTTCATCAAGCGCACCTCCCCTCAGAAACGGGGGATTTCACGCAAGTTCAAGTTGACATCGCGACGGGCTCATCGCTCTGCAGAGACGCTGACAACAGACCCAAGCGAGAAAATACGCAACCGTGTGAGCTCAGGTTGTGTTCTCATCACTTGAGCTATTGTCCAAGTCCTTCGAAAAAAACGTTCGAGGAGGACGCGGCGACATACTCGAGTCCTGGCGATTTCTCTTCCGAGCCCTGAGATTTGCACGTGGAAGGTACAACGCCAGCGAAGAGCGTGCCTTGCCGGCTTTGCCTTCGAAGATGATGCTCTTTGGCGTTAGGATGCCCAGAGTGAACGGGAATCTCTTGCAGAAATCCAGAGAGAGAGAGCAAGAAAGAGAGCGAGCGCTCCGGAAGACAACCCATTACCAGAAAGACCAGATGAGGTCACCTGAATATCTGCAGGTTCATGCTGAGCTCCAAACTGCACGAAGACCAACAACAAATGGATAAATCAATTGCCAAGATTTTCTTTTCAAGCGGAGTTAATCTGGGGCAATCCGCAGCACACCGCAAAGCGTCTGGTAACCGTGGCAACAAAAGGAGAGTGCTACAAAACTGGACCTGGGCTCCAAAACCAAACCAAACCAAACCCGGACAAACACAATCAGTACATCGCAGTTGACTGGCTGTGAAAGAACAACAACGTTTTTCTTCAGCTTGCTTCCCAAACTGAAGCTGAATATTCCTCAGGCGGGCACAATTAGCATTTCCTCGCTCTCAGTTGCGATTTGCGTCACGGCGGCAACGTGGGATCAGAACACGTGCGGTGGGATGTCTTCGGATTGGAAGCGGCGGATACGAGTCCCGAAACAGACGGCGCATCTGACGGCGCCCGAACGCCGACGCCACCGAGACGCATTCGCGATCTGCACGTTTGTTCACGTTGCTCTTCTCCGCGCTAGCGACTTTGACGGACAAACCTTTTGTGTTTTTTTGACGGCCGTCATGCGGTCGTGTTCGCGCAGCAAGCGGGAAGAAGAAAAGGGAAGTTGCACCCTTGTCAAGTGAGAGCGGAGCTGCCGACTCGAGTCTCCGTCAACACTTTTAGGACGGCCGAGGAAGCGGCATTTACCGCTAACGTTGGCCGACAAAGTCCGCTTTGGCGCCGAAACCCGAGCCGTCAATCATCAGGAGAGCGGCGCGGTAGCCGACTTCTTCCCTCAACCGAACGGCCGCACCTC